GCGAGGGGGGGGGAATTACAGGCAAAGAAATAAACAAAAAGGAAAAGAACACAAATGCCCAAATATATCTGAAGAAATGAACTGAAAAGTAAAAACTGAAAAAAATTCAAACGAGTTATTAGAAAATCAAATCAAAAAATCAAATAAAGAAAAAAACTTATCAATTTGCACATAATTTCACAAAAGTTCCTTGTCCAATTTCAATAAATCAGAAAAAAGGCTTGATGTTGAACAAGTCGCAACTCAACTCAATACAAATCCTGCAAACTAACTGATGAATCAAGCTGGTATTTATACAGAAATACCTCCAGTCATGTACCAGCAGCCAATCACAACCCAAGCAATGGACTATCCCACTTGAGCACAATGAGATGCTCCATGGCACCATAAATAGCTCTCTTTCTCAAGGTGGAGTGTTCATTCACTCAGCTTGTTCTACAACTGAGTGTTTCACTTGACAAAGTGATTGTTTCACTATAACTCACTTTAGTGTACATTTGCCTTGAAGAAAGTTCTTAAAGCCTTTGCTTCTATTTCAGAATTTAGTTATCTTTTCAACAGCTTTCTTTATCGTTCAATGATTTCTGTGAATCTCCTTTGATATCTCCAAAATGGACATTCCTTCAATCAATAAAGTTGCTATTTCCTGTTTTACAACATTTGTCACATCCTTTGTATTACTCAAATATATATATATATATATAATTTGTGTATTTAGGCAGCAAACTCTTTTAGGCATGTCTGATTGAATCAAGGATCTGTGGTTTTAGTGGCTACAGATCCTTGAAACAATCTTCATTAAAAAATTTAAGCCGTCACTCAATAGAAGCAGCTCTGAACACTGTTAATAATGTTCTAAAATGCCTATAAAAGGAAGTTTTCATGCTTTACATTCACCTTGAAGTTCTTAAAGCCTTTACCTTTGCTTCTATTTCTCAATTTAGTTATCTTTTCAACAGCTTTCTTTATCATTCAATGATCTCTGTGAATCTCCTTTGATATCTTCAAAATGGACATTCCTTCAATCAATAACGGTGCTATTTCCTGTTGTTCAACATTTGTCGTATCCTGTCCATTACCCATGTTTCAATTTATATATTCATTCAAAAAGAAGAATAAAAATATTTATTAAGCTTTAGAGACATTAAACTAACTGATCCAATTCTGCTGCTTTAAAATATTTGCTTTCTTGAGAGGAGGATGCCAAAGAGATTTCTTGATAAATCCCAATTTCCAAAGTATTCTATTCCTTTTGACCCTCTTGGCTTCCTCAATTCCAGCCTGTTCAAAGATCTGAGCATTAGCTAGAAGTGGTTATTTCATTATGACTTTAGAAGAGACAAGTTCTTAAAGTCTTTACTTTATAGATTCTATTTCTGAATTTAGTTATCTTTTCAACAGCTTTCTTTATCGTTCAATGATTTCTGTGAATCTCCTTTGATATCTCCAAAATGGACATTCCTTCAATCAATAAAGTTGCTTTTTCCTGTTTTTCAACATTTGTCACATTCATTACCCATGTTTCAATTTATTCTTTCAAAAAGAAGAATAAAAATAATATTTATTAGGCTTTAGAGGCATTACACTTATATTATTTTGATAAGCATAATAACTTCAGACAGTTCATTCTCATAAAATCCAATTATATCAAATAATAGCAATTAAGAGACTAAAAATTTAGTAAGAGATTTTACCAAGAGTGGAAATGTTCTCTTTTAAAATTGACAAAGATTGGTTCATGCCTTTTTGAAGTATTGAGGTTTATGTGATTTGCATATTCCCTTCAGACAAACTGTATGTTTAGCATCTTCCAACTGGGTCCTGAAGCTCCCGAGGCCAGCTCAGATTATAGGTTAGTAATATTTAATTAAGAATGAAGCATGATGGGAATTTTTTGCTTCTGCAGCTATAATCTCAGTTCAGTGACCTTCATTTTCATTTGAGTTATTCTGCTTCCTTTTATTTTATGGTCTGGAAGATATTATGCATATTTCATCATTAATCTTGCCTAGCTTCAATCTGTCACTTTCTGTTTTATTTCATTTACTTACATGTGTTTGGTTTTTCACAATAAATAACGCAGTGTAACGTATTTTCAGTCATAATGCTTGTGAAAATGATATTAATATAAACAAAATGAACAAGAAAAAGTGTGTTCTTTGTTAATTGAATATTGATCCCTTACAAGCACAATTTTTTTTCACTTTCTTTCATCCTTAATGTTTTAAAATTTACTTCATTATTTCAGTGTTGCTCATTTAAGCACAAATTTGCTTTGATAAAAATATGAATTTTAAAAAAAATATTTTATAATGTTGTCAAGATATAAAGTGGTTTTGAAAAAAACACATTTATAGGTAAACAATAGTTGATTAACATACAAGAAAGATTAAGCAATTATTTTTTAATATTTCAACGTTTATTAAAATCATCCTCAGGAATTTGTGAATGGGAAGGACTTTCATTGTTCATTTATGGGAGGACTTACATGGTGATATTAAATAAATGTTATAAATTATAGAAAGAAATGAGAGGAAAAATATGTGATATTCTCACCTAAAAAAAAATTAGCAGTAATAGGCCAAATCCCAAATTTCTTAATTTGAGAAAATATTTCAGAAAGGTTTGACTCCCAATAAATAAGCAGCGTGACTTGCTCTGTCATAATGTTTGTGAAAATGATATTAATAAAGGTAAAATTTAGTTAGAGATTTTTACCAAGGGTAGAAATGTTCATGTTTAAAATTGACGAAGATTAGTTCATGCCTTTTTGCAATATTGATTTGCATTACTAACTTCAGACAAGGTGTATATATGCATGTTTCATTAAATATTGTCTCATGCACTTCCGGCAAATAGTCATTTTCAATCAGCTTTAATTGTGACGAGTATTGCTAATGTCTTCGTTTTGCTGCTGATATAGTAATTGCATGAGATATATTTTTGTCATATTAACAAAACACAATATCAGAAATGAAACGAAAGTATACAATCAGTTTCAAAAATTTTCCTATATGTGAACTTGTATTGTCATGGAGAAGAACAACAGTTTTCATTCATTCCACTGTGTACACCGCCACTGCTGTGCAAAAAGTAAAGTATGTTAGTGTACACTAACTTTACACTGTTCAGACTATCATCCTCATCGCCATATTTATCACAATGTTTTGGCCATTGTACACTCCAGCCTTCTTCAGGTGGTTGGAATGTTGAACTGAACCCTTTATTTCACTTGCTGTAGACTGTTCTAATTCCACATGCCATGTCTAATGGATTTCAGTTATCTCCTATTAATTTCTCTCTTCAAGTTCTCCACCGCCTTAACCAGGTATTGAACTCACACTCTTTGGGTCCTGTCACTGGATCTAACTAATGCCTTTATCCACTATGCCATGTGTCCTTGAGGACATCTGTGTATGAATTTCTGGGTATTATAAACCTAATGTCTTCAGCAACCACTCTTACCAGTGCTCATATTGCAATTTTTGTTGTTATCATTACGTGTTTTTACCAGAGCTCATATTGCAGTTTTTGTTGTTATTATTGCTTTTCTCTGGTACTCCTAATTACTGGTTTCCATATTGTATTCACTTTATGCTTTGTTGGCTCAGGAGATTTTTGTGGCCTAGCATATATGTTGATTCCTTAAGTTTACGAATTTTCCAATGGTGTTCTTTGTCTATGATTTCAACCTGAGAGAGCAGTGATTTCCCTTTTCTCTCCATATGTGGTCAGCCATTTGACATTCCAACCACCAGAAGAAGGCCAGAGCGTACAATGGCTGAAACGGGATAAATATGGCAACAAAGATCAGAATGATAGTCCGAACAATGTAAATAGTGTACATAATACCTCATCTCAGAAATATAGAAAGATATGTTAGTGTATTACAAATTTATTCTCAACTACTATGTACGATTAATAGTTTGGATGATATATTTGCCATTACAACTGGTTCCCAAAAATGGAAATTATTTCTATGTGTAGAAATAACATAAAAATATCAAAATCTTACTTAAAACACAGATTGTGTGTCTGTCTGTTCGTTTATATATGGGATCGTATTTTCTACATTTTTCAACCGATTTCAACAAAACTTCACAGGACTACGTAAAATTATCCGGCGGTGGCTCTGACAGCGCCAAAAATTAGAAAAAAAAACAATTGTTTTTGCACGAAATCAATTTGAAAGCACGGGTAAGGGTATCACACCCGGCCGGAAGTTACTGCCGGCTACTCAAACGTCCGAATGCGTCACCGCGGAAAACAGAACGAATGCCATAAACTTCCGGTGACTCAGCGGTTTTTTTTCAGAGAACGATACACAAAAAGTAAAACAAATGAAACATAAACATACACAAGTCCTCCTAACTAAAAATAATAATCGGAAACTACTTTAAATACACATGGTGTCCAAATGAAACCTATGTGTAAAGTCAAAATGCGGAAGTTCATTTTTAGTCATCAACCAAAAGATATTGCCAACCGGCTACGATGCTAACCCCAGCCAACATAAACACAGCAATATGCGATATGATAAACTGGCTACATGATATGCGTGTCGATACCTAGACTGCTGCAAACCCATTGGTCGCTTTCACAGAGCTTGACCTTGGGGCCTGTTCAATCATCACGCAGGATTTCTCCACCTCTTATTGCGTGACTCGGGCGTGCTTTCACACTTTGGCGTTTATTGTTGCCCGCGTGCACGTACTTGGTTTGCTTTATGTGTTCTAGCTGATTTTTTGTTCTGTAGTTCTAACCCAACCCCACACACGTTAGCCAATTGTACTAAAAACCCATTTCCTTTTGGATTTACCCGTGGTTTACCTTTTTAAATTTCCACTTTTTTAGTTTCGAGTTGTCCTTTAGTAACATCTGAACTCATTTTACTGGGTGTTCCCCTTTTTGTGTCTATGTTAGCAGTGCACGTTTTTTTGTTTTGGATTTGTCGAAATCTGTTTTTAAGCTTTACCCTCTTTGACGTTTTTACTGTTTGGATGCCACCTAAAAGCAGGAAACTTTTGGGACGGCGCACGGCAGCGAGGGCGAGTGAAACACCTGAACAGACTTCTTTGCGTCTTTCACGGATGGCCTCGAGCTCAGCTGCTCGCTTATCTACGGAAATCGGCGATGCGCGGACTGAAAGGTTGACTTCAGCGGCTTCAACCATGTCCGTATGCCGCGCCAGGCTTTCAGTTGAAGACCGTTCACTTCAGAATTCACAGGACGCAGTCCGCGTGGCTAGGTTGAGGGCTTCACAGTCCCCAGCACAGAAAACCCTTCGCTCCAGGGATTTAGGAAGCCCCGAACAAACAACTTCACGTTGTCTTAGGAATACTAGGGCTACAGCCGCCACTAGAGCTTCGGAACAACCCCAAGAAACCGCTCATCGTCGCTTTAGAAATGTCCTATCCACTGCATCTGCTAGAGCCCTAGAAAGCCCTGCACAGACCACTGTTCGTCGCGTTAAAAATGCCCGCTCTACTGCGTCTGCCAGGGCTGCAGAAAACTCTGAAGTGTGCCGTCAACGGCTCGAAAACATAAGCCAACTTCTAGCTTCTTTGAATGGCGTAACTTCGCCGTCTGCGTCATCTTGGTCAAATGCCGCATATAATTATGACTGCACTGTCAACTATTCCGCTAGGAGAGACGTACAAATAGGGGCCATGGATAAAGTTTGCACTTTTTGCAACGCAAAAAAGTGGGCCGGTGAGCAACCTGGGCTTTGTTGCTCTGGGGGCAAAATCAAACTCCCTTCTTTAGACGAACCTCCCCAGCCGCTTAGGGACCTCCTTCCTGAGTTCCGGTCCAAAAATAAAATAATATTTTAAAGTGTTTCTATTTTTCGATCAATAATGCTTCCCTCCTAATTATACTCGCGTCGTTTTACGAGCCTGTTAAGCCATAAAAATGCCATAAAAGGGGTCACACGAGGAAGTACAACAGAGGCCCAGAAGGCAACCAAACCCACAGCAGACGGGCCTCACCAACCCTCCTGAACATGGCCACCATCCGACACGCAGAAACCATCAACACACACCACGAATCAGCGTGTGCAAGAACTACCTCAGAGGTCGCCCCTGCCTCCATGGACGCAACTGCTTATATCGCCACCCACCTCGCACTCGGGCACAGGCCCATATCGCCGCAACGAATGATAATATACAAGCCATAAATGATGTGAAACAGGATTTTCGCTTCGGGCAGGACGAGATGTGATGCCTCGTTGTCCGTGCCTCTACGTCAGCCATCACACCTTCAACTTTCAAGGACTCGCTCACCATTCACCGCTCGTCCAGTCACCTTCAACTTCAGGGACATCACCTTCTCTGGCGTCGCAATGCTAGACTCTGGATGCTCCACCTGCATCTTACCGATATCTCAGTTACCCAGAGAAGCCAAGAAACACATGACCCGCTCCGACGTCGTAGTAAAAGGAATCAACGGCAGCACCACCGCCCTTGGCGAACTGACTTGTGACATCACCATCGGCAGTCGAGATTCACCCACATTCAAAAAGGTTAACGTGCTAGTAACTACCCAAACCACACCGATCCTGATCGGCCAAAATATCCTAAGTCACAACACGCTCGATTCTTATCTAATCGACAACCAAAATGTGACTATAGAATTCAGACGCACACTTTCCTCAGGATACACAACACACACAGCCGCAATCATATCACCGTCATCGTCAACCAACGATCCAGCATATGGCACCCAAGCTGATGTCATCCCAAACCAGTTTACTATGGAACTACAGCCCAACATCCAGACACTGGATCAAAAGCTAACCTGGCTAAAGCACGGGCCTATCGCTACCAAACCACCCGAACCGAGACGAACTAGAGTCCACTGCAAACTTACTCATTCGCTACCGAAAGCAAAGGCACATTCATCCGACCCATCCGCATACCAACCAACGGCCAGTCTCGCAGCCAGAAACAACACCCGATCGCCCAGGCTTTGGAAGCAGACGTTGATACCGAAATTAAACGCATGGCCGATGAAGGTATCATTGAAAACTGCAGCGACCCCAAAGGCTTCAATAGCCCTGTATTTGCCGTACGCAAGAAAAACGGATCGATTCGCGTCGTTGCTAACTTTAAAAGAACTCTCAACAAGGTCTTAGTCGATCTTGACCCTTACCCAATGCCAAGGATCGACCACTTGTTCAACAAAATCGGCAAAGGCAATGGATATTTTACTACCCTCGATCTACGCAGCGGCTACTGGCAAATTGAGATCGACAAGAGAGGCCGATACAAAACAGCATTTACATGGAAGGACCAATGCTATTAATACACGCGCCTGGCCTTCGGCCTTACATCTGCCGGACAAATCTTCTCCCGTTGCATAGCAGAAGCCCTAGCTGTGTAAGCTTATGGATTTAATCCTTAAAGGGCAAGTCTTCGGACGCGTTAAGTGTCATATGTATACAGTGGAATGGCAGAAACGCGGTTTGCCTCATAACCGCATTCTGCTGTGGCTTAACGAAAAGGTTGACGCAAACAAAATAGACGATTTTATTTCTGCTGAAATTCCGCATCCTGCGCTGGAGCCTTTGCTCCACGAAATCATTAAAAAAATATACACGGCCCCTGTAGCGCGAATTACAAAAAAAGGTCACGTTGGTCAAGCGGCCCCACTTGCGCAAAGGTTTGCGCAGACTGCAGCGGATGGTTACCCACTGTACAGACGTAGAAGCCCCGCTGATGGCGGCAGAACTGTGAAAGTTAAGGGGCACACTCTGGACAATCATTAGGTGGTGCCTTATTGCCCGCTGCTGTCCAAGACTTTTGGAGCCCACATAAACGTTGAATACTGCCACTCGGTTAAGTCAATAAAGTACATCTGCAAGTACGTTAATAAAGGCAGCGATGACGAGGTGGCCGATTACGTGGCTGGACGCTACCTCAGCAGTAGCGAGGCCTTTTGGTCAATTTTCGGATTCCTCATACACCAAAGGGCTCCAGCCATTGTGCAGCTTGCTGTTCACTTAGAAAATGGACAGAGGATGTACTTCACCGAACAAAACGCCCAGCAGGTTGCGGAAAACCCTAAAGACACAACCCTAACGGCTTTCTTTAAATTATGCTCAACAGATGCTTTTGCCAAAACATTGATATACCCCCAAGTCCCGTCCTACTACGTGTGATCAAACAACCGTTGGGTTCGGCAAAAGGCTGGCGACCCTGTCGAGGGTTATCCCGATGTAAGGTCTAACTCTTGCCTTGGACGCGTTTATACTGTGCCCTCCAGCCAGCAGGAGTCCTTTTACCTCCGCCTTCTACTTCATGAAATTGCTGGGCCAACGAGTTTCACAGATATTCGCACTGTCAACGGCATAGAGTGCCAGTCTTATAGAGAGGCATGCTTCCGTTTGGGATTGCTTGAAGACGACTCCCAATGGGATGCAGCCATGGCGGAGGGTGAACTTCTCAGAACGCCATCACGGCTTCGAACGCTGTTCGCCATTTTGCTTTTGCGATGTGAACTAAGCGATCCTCTGTCGCTCTGGCTAAAGTACAGAGAATCCATGTCAGAGGATGTGCTGTTCTCCGTTCAGCGTAACAGCCCAAAAGTTGAATGCGGTTTCACTGACTTCATATTAAACAGAGCGCTGGTGGCCCTAGAAGATGTTGTTTTCGAACTGGGAGGTGCCTCTTTACCAACTTACGGTTTACCACCACCGCTCAGAGATGGTTTTGACACTGTACCAACTGAGTTATTGCGGAAAACATCCTACTCCATCGAGGGGCTGAACGCATATATTACCGAAAACGAGCCCAAACTTCTACCTGATCAGAGGGTTGCTTTCACTACCATAACAGACAGGGCAAACAGCTCCAGTGGAGGTATATACTTTTTAGATGCGCCCGGAGGAACTGGCAAAACTTTTGTTACTAAATTAGTTCTGGCAGATGTACGGCCCCGTGGGGAGATCGCTATTGCGTCGCATCTTCCGGGATTGCTGCAACATTGCTACCGGGAGGTAGAACCGCTCATTCAGCTTTTAGGTTGCCGCTTGATCTATGCCGGTCACAAAATCCTCTCTGCAACATAACAAAGAATTCACAACAGGCTGAAGTTCTGTGGAGATGCAAACTTATAGTTTGGGATGAGTGCACGATGGCACACAAGAGCGCCCTTGAGGCTCTTGACCGAAGTCTCCAAGACATCCGCGACTCCTCCGACGCCATGGGTGGAGTAACCCTTCTCCTCGCAGGCGACTTTAGGCAGACTCTATCTGTTATTCCTAAAGGTACACGCACTGACACTGTCCGCGCCTGCCTGAAGTCGTCTGCCCTTTGGCGCCACGTGGGGACTCTTAAACTGAGCACGAACATGCGTGCCTACTGATCCGCTGACTTCGCACGGGACCCTCTTGCTCTTGGAGAGGGGAAAATGCCATCTGACACACACGGTTTTGTGAAGATGGATCAGCTTGCCACCACTGTTAAATCACTGGATGAATTGATGAATGCAGTCTTCTATAACCTATCATCTAATTTTGCCGATGCTGATTGGCTTGCTGGGAGGGCCATATTGGCACCGAACAACTGTACAGTTGATTCCATCAACTTTAAACTGTTGGATGACATTCCCGGGCAATATCATGTTTATAAGTCCATCGATAGAACTTCCGATCCATCTGAATTAGCTGAGTATCCCATAGAAGTTTTGAACTCCCTTCAGCCGTCCGGACTCCTACCTCATATTCTTCGGCTCAAAGTTGGTGCTCCGATTATGCTAATCAGGAATTTGCTCCCACCTAAACAGTGCCACGGGACTCGCCTCATTATTAAATCCCTTTCTCCGAACCTGATTGAGGCGACCAGGGGGAAATCGTTTTGATTCTCAGGATGCATATTCTGCCGTCAGACGCAAGCATACCAATCAACTTTCGTCGCTCACAACTTCCCGTGAAGCTTTGCTTTGCTATGTCCATTAACAAATCACAAGGACAGATTTACGTGAGCAGTGCTTCTCTCACGGCCAACTTTACGTTGGGTGCTCACGAGTTGGGTCTAAGGACAGGGTTTTCATTTACTCTCCCAACAACTGTGCTAGAAACATAATCTACATGGAGGTCCTGTAGACAACACGCCCGGTAGCGTTTAAGCGCCATGCACACATATGCGGTCCGATTGCATGGCATTTTTTTTGTTTGTCATATTGGTTTTAACGTTAGGTCGTCGTAGTCTCCACTTGCCATTACTAAGACATCTTTGTAAAGGTTACCCAGCTCTTTTGCTGCCTTCTGACTTTCATACCTTCACCCGCCATCATCGCGTTTGTTTGTACACTATGATAACCTCACCGTATTCAGTTGCAACACAAACTGCTAGACACATGAACACCGACATGATTGCTCCACTAACGTTCCGGTTTCATTAACAGTTGATCGGAGCACCTGCAGTTCGTACCAGTGCATACAAGCACATTCACACTTGAGAAGCTTCGGAGTTCGTTTAATTGTCACAAAAGTCGAGTGCGTGTATGAAATTCAGGCTTCTGATTCCATATACTCTTTACGGCTGCCATGGGTGAAACATGTCAGCCATACGGCTCTATTGTTTTGTTCGTAGTCATGCAAAAAAAAAACTAAAAACACACACCTAGTACGGCGACCCCGGTTGGTTTTCATAAGCTCTCAGCCGTGATGTTGACTGCGACTGAAGAGAAGGCACTTTTTCATTGCAATTGAGGCGCTCGGCCGTACGGCGAACCCGGTCCGGTTCCATGAGCTCTCAGCGTGATGTTGACTGCGACTGAAGAGATGGCACTTCTCCATTGCAATTACGATGATCGGCCTTACGGCTACCCC